GCATTTGTCATCGAGTTTCGCAAGCAGTCATCGTTCGCTCCTTTTCCATCTCGGCCCACTTCAGGTAAACTTATTTCCCATTGAACAGCAGCCCTTGCATTTACTTGCGAGCGAGAAGCCTTATTCAGAGAGGTGATGTAGAATTCTAATTCATGCTGGTAAACAAAGTTGTTCACATGCTTCATTCTCGATCCGACGACTTTCCCATTCCGAATAACCCACGAAACAATGAAAGGTCCGGTTATTGCTAGAAAAACTGCATCTGATAAAATGCTTTTTACTGAGAGGTAATCAGAGCGTTTTCCAGAGCTCAACCGAGCGTAGGCTGGTACAAAGTTATACTTTACATCCATCAAATCTACCAGAGCTTGTGCACGTCCCTCCTCAGCAGCAAGAAGAGCTTTGACATCCTCACCCTGTCTCAAAAGAACGCGCCAAATACCCGTGTATGCTTTTTGGTAAACATTTCGGAATGAAATCTTCCATGCATCGTGAGTCAGAAGAGTAGCCCTAAGCTCATTAAAAACCTCCCCACTGGAAACAAAATAGTCTAGGGCCAATTGGAGACATCCCTGCCCTTCATAAGTGTGAGCAAGATGACATTGAGTCATGGCCATCTGAAGCATTTGCCCTTCTTCTTTGGCAATTTCTAGAGCGGTTTTATAGTACTCGATGGCTGTTATGAACTGTCCTAGACAACGATAAGCATTGCCAAGATTTCCATAACTATTTCCTTCTCCAGCCTTGTCTCCCACTTCTTTAGCAATTTCTAGGTGACGTTTATGGTACTCGATGGCTGTTTGGAACTGTCCTAGACAATAATAGGTATTGCCAAGATCTCCATAACTTTTTCCTTCTACAGCCTTGTTTCCCACTTCTTTGGCAATTTCTAGGTGACATTCATGGTACTGGATGGCTCTTTTCAACTGTCCTAGACGACGATAAGCATTGCCAAGATTTCCATAGCTCTTTCCTTCTCCAGCCTTGTCTCCCACTTCTTTCTCAATTTCTAGGGCACGTTTATGGTACTCGATGGCTGTTTTAAACTGTCCTATAGTTTTATAAGCATTGCCAAGATTTCCATTAGCGTTTCCTTCTCCAACCTTGTCTCCCACTTCTTTGGAAATTTCAAGGTGACGTTTATGGTACTCAATGGCTGTTTTGAACTGTCCTAGACTATGATAAGCATTGCCAAGATTTCCATAACTGTTTCCTTCCCCAGCCTTGTCTCCCACTTCTTTGGCAATTTCTAGGTGACGTTTATGGTACTCGATGGCTGTTTTTAACTGTCCTAGACCACAATAAGCATTGCCAAGATTTCCATAACTCATTCCTTCTCCAGCCTTGTCTCCCACTTCTTTGGCAGTTTCTAGG